TTATGCAGTCCACAGTGCCACTACCCCATCATGCACTCTACCACTACAGCTGAAGAGCATACCAAGCTTTTTCTCTCTCTGCCTGGCACAAAACCTTCAAATCCCAATCATCTTGGTGTTTGCAAAGCTGAGGCTTCATGACCTTGCAACAGACTGGGATACAGGGTTCTGTGTTTCCTACTCCCACTTGCCAGCACCACCAGGTCCATGTGGCAACTCTTTTGCAGCAGTTGGCCAAAAGCCCTCAAGGAAGGGGGCATAGTTACCTGCCCAATATATGAACTTTGCAGATATTTTGGGAGAAGAGAAGGCTTTAGTTCCTCTTCCACTTAAAACCTGTGGCTGTGGTATTGTGGTAATATCAGAGGACAAAATTCTAACCATGAGGCAATAACTGATTTTTATTTATTTATTGAATTTACTTAATAATAATAATAATAATAATAATAATAATAATAATAATAATAATAATAATAATAATAATAATAATAATAATAATAATAGTAATAATAAAGTTGGAAGGGACCTTGGAGGTCATCTAGTCCAAACCCCTACTCAGGCAGGAAACCCTATACCATTTCAGACAAATGGCTGTCCAGTCTCTTCTTAAAAACCTCCAGTGTTGGAGCATTCACCGCTTCTGGAGGCAGATTGTTCCACTGGTTAATTGTTCTAACTGTCAAGAAGTTTCTCCTTAGTTCTAGGTTGCTTCTCTCCTTGATTAGTTTCCATCCGTTGCTTCTTGTCCTGCCTTCAGGCGCCTTGGAAAATAGCTTGACTCCCTCTTCTTTGGGGCAGCCCCTGAGATATTGGAACACTGCTATCATGTCCCCCCTCGTTCTTCTCTTCATTAAACTAGACATACCCAATTCCAGCAGCCTTTTCTTATATGCTTTAGCCTCCAGTCTCCTAATCATCTATGTTGCTCTTCTCTGTACTCTTTCTAGAGTCTCAACATCTTTTTTACATCGCAGTGACCAAAACTGGATGCAATATTCCAAGTGTGGCCTTACCAAGGCATTGTAAAGTGGTATTAATACTTCACATGATCTTGATTCTATCCCCCTGTTAATGCAGCCCAGCACTGTGTTGGCCTTTTTGGCAGCTGCAGCACACTGCTGGCTCATATTTAAGTGATTGTCCACTAGGACTCCGAGGTCCCACTCACAGTTACTACTATTGAGCAAGGTACCCCCTATACTATACCTGTGCATTTGGTTTTTCTTGCCTAAATGTAGAACCTTACTTTTTTCACCATTGAATTTCATTTTGTTAGATAGTGCCCAGTGTTCAAGTCTGTCCAGATCCTCCTGTATCCTAAGCCTGTCTTCTGGAGTGTTGGCTATTCCTGCCAGCTTGGTGTCGTCTGCAAATTTGATGATTTCCCCATCTATCCCCTCGTCCAAATCGTTGATGAAGATGTTGAAGAGCACTGGGCCCAGAACAGAGCCCTGGGGCACCCCACTACACACTTCCCTCCACGTAGATGCGGTTCCATTGAGGACCACACGCTGAGTACGGCTGGTCAGCCAGCTACGGATCCATCTGGTGGTGATGCTGTCTAACCCACATTTTTCTATCTTATTTTCTATCTTATTTTTCTATCTTACTGAAGTCCAAGTAAATTATATCCACAGCATTCCTCTGATCCACTAATTTTGTCACTTGGTCAAAGAATGCGACAAGATTTGTCTGGCATGATCTATTTTTGACAAACCCATGTTGGCTTTTAGTAATGACTTTGTTTGCCTCTAGGTGTTCGCTGATTCGTTGTTTGATTATCTTTTCCAGAATCTTCCCAGGTATTGAGGTCAGGCTGATAGGTCTGTAATTTCCTGGGTCCATTTTTTCCCCTTTTTTGAAGATGGGAACTACATCAGCTCTTTTCCAGTCTTCTGGTAGTTCCCCAGTGCTCCAGAATCTTTGAAAAATATTTCAGTGATTCTGAGATCACATCTGCCAGTTCCTTGAGAATCCTGGGATGTAATCCATCTGGTCCTGGTGATTTGAACTCGTCTAGGCTGGACAGGTGCTCACTTACCGTTTTCTTGCCTATCTTAACTTGCATTTCTATTCTGTTTTTTATGGCATTATTTTTGGTAGGTTGGTCTGTTTTTTCCCTTGCCGCCCATCTGGTAGCAACCAACTTTGATGTCAGCAAAAGAACTGTTATTCTTAAGGTAATATTTTGATTCTAGTTTGAAGAAAAGATTTATTGGATGTTCTAAGTCACCTACTTCAGTACCTACCTTTTCTTTTCCTAAGAAGCAAGAGATGGCTTTTCGGAAACCCAAGTAGTGAGATCCCGATGTCCACAATTACAAAGAGTTTAACGAGATCACAGTAAAGGACCATTACCCATCTTACTGAGCTTGCTGGATAGATTGCAGAATGCAGGCATATTTACCACACTGGATCTTCAAAATGCATATAAACTCCTTAGAGTCAAAGAAGGACACATTTTTTTTATGGCATTCAATATTATACCAGTATAGGAAGTTTGAGTATACAGTAATGCCTTTTGGTTTGGTCAGTTGTGGAGTTGTATTGTCCAGGCTTATGACCCAATTGTTTCCAATAAAATTGATAAATTTGTGGTGATGTATCTGGATGATATCTTGAATTGTTTAGAATATGAAGAGGGTCATGAACAGTATGTACAAGAGGTGTTTGAACAGGCTACAGGGAAATAAGTTACTTGCCAAGCTAAAAAAATATTCCTTTCGCCTAAAACACTTGAGTTTCTGGGTTATCAGATTTCTACAGATGGAATCCAAATGGACCCCTAAAAGGTGCAAATAATGCTCTCATGGCACCGCCCCCAATACATAAGTGTTTCTTAGGTTTTGTGAATTTTTATAGGAAATTCATTCCAATCTTTGCACGTAAGGTTAAGCCTGTTACTTAATTGCTGAAAAAGAAAGTGAAGTTTGGTTCATTGGAAAGAAAACAGTCTGCATTGAAGGTTTAAAACAACTCTTTGCTAAGCAGTGCTTTTTCCAATACTCTGACCTGTTAAAGAAATTTAATGTCCAGACAGATACCTCATATGTAGCCCTGGTGCTATTGCAGGAGCAGCAGGAGGAGGGGGCCAATTGCTTCCTTGTGTCTTTTACTCCAGAGCTTTAATGTTTCCAGAAAGGAATTACAACATCAAGTCAAGCTGCCTTCCAAAGCGCCTGAAGGCAGGACAAGAAGCAAGGGATGGAAACTAATCCCTTCTCCCCCTCACTTTCCCCCCTTTTTCCTCCCCACTGTGTCCTACTATTTGCTTTTGTATTTTTGTATTTTATTCTATAATCTAATAAAATATTACAAACTGTAGAAAAAAAGAAAAAAAGTACCAGTTTTAATTTCTTCGGTGGCTGTTCCTTTGCTGAATTACTTTCCCTTTGCACTGACAAATGAATGATGAATTTATCCATGTTTATTAATATGCACCACTACCAGCTAGTCCAGGGGTCTTCAAACTTGGCACTTTTAGGACTTGTGGACTTTAACTCCCAGAATTCCTCAGCCCTCATGGCTGGTTGAGGAATTCTGGGAGTTGAAGTCCACAGGTCTTACTCCTGAGCTAGCTGGTTGGCCCTTCTGAGCTCTTCCACAGTGTAGTAAGAATGCAGCCCCCCCCCCCCCAATCCCTTCCCTGTACCCTTAAAGACACAGGAATCAAGTGCAAAGCAAGAAAATAAAGAAACACAAACTCCGGGGTTTTTTTTTCCTCTTTAAGCTGCCTCAGGCATGTCACGTGTGACAATGTTGTATTCTAGACTGAAAGGCTCCGGCAATTGTGAAAAGCTTTAGCTTTAAATTAAGCCAGTTTACCTTCAAAGAAAACTTTCTAAAAGCCACAGACAGACTCAATTAAAGGGGGTAAAACTAATTACATTTGTTTAAAGGGATTAAACCTTTCCTGTTGTCTTTTTTCCCTTCTCCCACCCAAACCATGTTCTTTTATAGCCTCTCCTCTCTTCCCCCCCTTTTTCTTCAGTTCACCTCCAGCCCGGAGCCAATCAGCTGGAGCCCTGCCTGCTTCTGCAGAGCAAGACCAGGGGTAGGCAACCTTGGCTCTTTTATGACTCGTGGACTTCAACTCCCAGAATTCCTGAGCCAGCCATGCTGAGGGGAAAGGGAGAGGTTTCCAAGCTGAGCCATGCTGGCTCAGGAATTCTGGGAGTTGAAGTCCAAGAGTCATAAAAGAGCCAAGGTTGCCTACCCCTGGCCAAGACAGTCCTGCAGCTGCAGCTGCCTCTCCCTCAGGCTTGGCTCGCTTAGGCTCATTCCCGTCCCCTGCTACACTTGGCTAGCAATCGCGTACCACCTGCCTTGTGGCAAATTACCACAAGTGGTACGCATATCACCAGTTGAAAAGCCCTGCTTTAGTGCATGCCATCTTGTAGAACTTTTGTGCAATGAGCCTTCTTTGAGGTAGCATCCATATTATGAACCTTTCTGACATTTTTTGAATATTAACCTTGATTTGCCTATTTAAAACTTTCCTCTTCACATAGGTCTTTTCTATATTAGTTGAATGACTGATTGTGAAAGAGAGAGAAGTGATATAAGATCATGTTTGCTTAATTTCGCAAAATGTTGACAAAACATCTTACTCTCATTATTGTGAGAACATACTTATGTTTTCACACACTCACAAATAATCACCCTCTATTTCATGCATTGCTTTCGTTGCAACAGGGTCCCTGTTCAATTTCTTAATATTTTTTTTCAGAAACAAAACTTGTGCTTGTTTTCATATTTTCCATTCATCTTCAATAATTGAATAAACAGAAAAATAGACAAACATGGTCTGAAAAAGAGGCCATGTCTGTAAAAAGCCAATTTTGGATTAGAGAAGAAAGCCTATCCATAACATATTTGAAATTTATTTTAACTTAAATACTGCTGATTCTTTTTGCAGTCTAACTTTACTGTGATTTGTTTGCTATTTTTTGCTGCTTTTTTAAGTATATACCACAAACAGCAAATCCATTTTATCTTACCTGTGGGTGTGCTACTACGAAATGAGGAGGAAGGGGTGATCGGAGGTGTGACAGGTGGAGTAAGGCTTCCACTGCTGTGACGTGGAGGAGTAGATACATTCCCACGGGACACTGAGCTTGATAAGGTCAAGGAGAGTTTAGGTTGGATTTTCTTCTTCAGAGATTCCTGTTCCCTACGAGCAGCATCAGTCATAAACCTATAAAAGCAGTGATACCAATATTACGGGGAAAAAATACTATGAACTGGCAACTGTAAACATTTGGTGCAAGTACATGGGAATATTCCTTATGCTATTCATTTCTTACCTCCCCTTGTTCCTGGTAAATCAAATATTGTCAAATGATGGATAGAAGGGAATATTTTTTTTTAGTAGTGTTTTCCCACAAGTGCAAGATCTGGTGTTTTTTTTATTAATTTAGTGTTGATCCATTGATTGTGATAGGAATTAACTGACCAGCTCATTGCCCAAGCCTGACATTGTTGGCTGAAAGTGAGTGTTTGGGGCTAGTCACTTTCTCTTAGCTCACCTCAAAGGGTTATTTGTTGTGGAAAAAATAGGAGAAAGGAGTATTAGGTATGTTTACCACATTGAGTTATTTATAAAAAATAATGAAGATGGATAAAAAGTTGTTGTCAATGCTTAATTTTATTGATTAAATTGACACATAGAAAGCTCCTCTCTGAGGGAGATGGATAATTAAGAAATATAAAATATAAATAAATAAAAAATGTTTAAAGATTTTTAAGATTAGAACTCAAAATTTCCTGATTTCTAATGTAATGCTTTAACCACTAGGCTAAACTGGCTTACCCACAGGAAGACATAATACTACGTCAAAATCTGTCTTCTAAAATTTTATTTTCTTTCAAAAGAGATTTTTCTTTTATACTCCATTCTTGGATAATTTCTTTAGAATGTGTTCAAATGATAATTTTGTGATGAGCATATTTTAGGCTGCCAAGGTATGCTTTTTTAAAAAAATTGAATCACTATAGAGCAGTGGCCTTCAGCCTTTTGGGTACCAGGGACTGGTTCCATGGAGAGAGGTTTTTCCGTGGACCAGAGGAGGTATGGTTTAGTGTGCTGCCTGCATCCCACAGATGGGGCTTCACTTGTTTGCATGGACTGGTTTCTGGCATGCTGCGGACAGGTGCCAGTCCACAGACAGGGGATTGGAGACCTCTGCTCTAGAGGTCTTCTTTGCTTGCATATGCTTCCTGGTCAATAAAAATACCCATGTGCATTACTGTGTTGATTTTCCTTGAAAACTGAATTGAAATGTGGGAAGTAAGGAGGCTGCAGACTACTGAAGAAAGATAGAACACATACCCCACCAATATAGGCACATCATACTTAATTACACCACTGCACTTTCTCCTACAAACAAAGAGAAGATCAATCCAGACATTCACAGTAAGAGGCATTATATATTGGTGTATTTACCATATTAGTAATTTATTATATTCCGTGACTTACTGAAACTTCAAATTGCCTTTTACGAATTTGTTGGGTTTGTTTGACTCTGCAATCTGCTGCTCCAGCTGATCTTTGCCTTCATCTTGCTCCCACTATGGATGAAGTATGTCTAGCCTTACTTGCTGGGCCAGGCTAGGCTTCAGTTGCAAAACCTCCTCCACCAAGAGCAGCCCCAGAGCTATAGTGCACCAACATGATACTTTGCAAAGACTCCTGGGTGGCACTGGGCTTCACATTCCCCCCTCAAAAACCCACCAAAAGCAACCCTTTGCAAAGAGCTCCTGGGCAGGCCACCATGCACAAATATTTTAGAAAAGGATGTTTGGTGCACTACAGCTCTGGTGCAGCTTTTGGGTTTTGTTTTTTTTTTGCAGTTGTTTTTTTGCAGCTGCTGTTTTTTTTGCCTCAGCAGCAGCAGGAGCAAGAAAAAGTGAAAGTCAGCTGGGGGAGTAGAGTACAGGGCAACAGGGGTCCAAAGTCATAGCTGGGAGGGAAGATAGATAGGTGGGAGGAGTTGAAGCATCACTGTGGTTGTAAGTGTGGATGGGCTGCCAAGTGTCCAAATATTGATCATGTGACTGTGGAAAAAACGCAGTGGCTATAACCTCAGGCACAGGTCTCTTAGTTCAGTGCCTTTGTAGCTTTTAACATGCTGAATGAATGGTATTATAAGTCAAGGACTACCAGTTTAGATAATGTAGTTGTTAAATCATTCCTTAAGATAAAACCTATTTGGTTGCCAGGAGAATTATAGGCTCTCTTCCTAATAAAAAGCAAGTCATTTTGAGTTCTCTGCTTTACTACTAAATTTCTCTTTTTTAACTTAAGCAAACTAGAACAACATTTTCAAACATGTCCTTTTCCAGCGATAACTACCATTTGTTTAGTTTTAGCAGTTAATTACCAGACTTGACATAAATTCCTGACAAGTGTCAATTTCATATGGTTTACCGCATAGACCCAAATAAATATCTTATGTTCTGTAATAGGAAAGCTTGCCCTTGCTAATTTTTCAAAAGCTTAATAAAGGCATAAAACCCACTGAGTACAATTTAATGTCCCAATTATCATTTCAGAATTCACTTTCAAAGCAGTTAACAGCTGGATTGTTAAAGCATTCATCAGCTTTGTTTTTGCTTTGGGTCATTAATTAGCAAACCAGTCATCACTTGCTGCTAACAATACATAGCTTATGGGTTACTGCTAAATTATAGGAAATAGTTTTATGGGATCATTTCATAATCCATTTTAAAATGGTTCAGATACCTTATTACACTATATAGCAATAAAAGAAAAATCTTCAAAATGTATAGTCCAGATGACTAGGTTGCAGGGTATTAATATTTCTTCAACAAACTACAATTATATCTGAAACATATTTTAAACATACCATTAATTGTTTAATTTAGATCAGACTACATAGCTCTTTTTAAGTGACATGATATCTAGGATTCAATCAGTGCATCACTAAAAACAAATATTGTAATTCTTACTCTTTTATTTTAGTTATGAGAAACCACCAAATTTTAGGATGGAAAGCTATTAGAAAGTCGATCTTTACATCATCTAGTAGATGATCAGATTTCTTCATAATTCATGTAAAAACAAGACCAGTTGGGGCAACTCTTAAGATCTTGTTTAGCAACAGAAATTTTGGCCTCAGTTGTAGTTATAAGTTGAGAACTACCTAATTTTAACAGAACAGAAAACACAATTGGAAGGGACCTTGGAGATCTTCTAGTCCAACCCCCTGCTCAGAGAGGAAACCCTGCACCATCTGGAAAAAAAAACTAGTGGATTACACAGTTCATGGAGTAAGAAATAAAAGATGAATTGATTGTTTGAATTTTGATGTAGTAATACACCACATAATCTTCAGTAGAGATAAAATGAATAAATATATCTCACAAAGCATAAGGACAATCTACTGCAAAATGATCTTCCACACATCTGAAAATTTTCTTCATTACATCCAATATGGCCAGAGATTAAGGGTTAGATTGGGTTAGAGAACAGTATGTCATCTTAAAAACGAAAGACTACCGTCCTACAATCTTTGGTTTTTGAAATTATTGCAATATATTAAACCATACCTGTTGATATTTACTTAGATGTTTGTTGAAAATGTATAGTATAATGAGATGAAATTATTACATGATGAAAGTTCATGTAGTTGTTATTGTATCTTTTTTCAGACAAGTCATTCAAAGACTCAAGGCAGCATACATAATGCTTCTCCTTATTTTTATCCACAACAACAGATTGTGAGATGGATTGGGCTGAGAAAGAGGGATTTCCATTGACTTTCCATTGTTGAGAATGGACCAGAAATTGTGTCTCTTTGACCCCAGTGCAACAATTGAATTATAGTTATATGTAAAAATGCATATACATAAATACCTATTTAACAGTAACATTTGAACAATGAATCGAAAAGGAAATAATGACAGATTTTCATACACTGACCCAGTGGGTTTCTGAAAATGTAGAACAATAAAAATAAGAAATAGCATTAACTGCAAGTGTTAAAACAATTTTATAAAGAGATCTGTTGGTTCCCTTGAAGGGGTAAATTCTTCTCTTTTCTACTTCCTCTTCAGTCACTCAAGGCTGAGTGCAGAGAGAGTTCAGGAAAGACTGCAGATAGGAAAGCACATCCCTTTTGAATCAGAATGCTCTTTCTCTTGAATAGAGAAGAAAACTGTTTTTCCCCCCTCAATTTGTTGTATCAGCACTGTTGCAAAAAATAAAAATAAAAATTAATAATTCATTACTAGTAAATCAAACAAATTATAATTGCAAAAACAAATCAGGAGAAGAAATTCAACATACCATTTGCTAAAAGTTTAAAACAATCATCATACCTAAAAATGATAGAAAGGAAAAAAAATGAAGCAACATAGGAAAGTCTGTTAGAAATAAGTGGGGAAAATGCATGTGTTGGTATTTAATTAATTTCCTAACAAAACACAACTGCTTCGAGACTTCCATGCTTGTTACTCACACAAAACCATGAAACCATGTTATATATACTTATTACTGAATTATATGCAACTTATGCAGGCTTTTACAAATACCTCATGCATTTGAATATTTTCGTTACAGTTTCAATGTACCAGGCTGAACTTAAAACAATTAAATGGCTTCTTTAATGGAACGGGTGGCCTCCTCTTGCTACGTGAACTAGCTGTAGGCAATTAAAATAATGAGTTTGGGCTGAGTCATCTAATCTCATGCCTGGTGCAAGCCAGGAGATAAAGGACTTTGCCCCACAATTCCTTGCCTGTTTACCAAACAAAACCCAGACTTGTTCTTTGCTCCCTTCCCCCTTCCTTCAGGCAACTTTTGATGCAAAAGATGGTATTGCAGAGCCCTCTACAGGTTGCCATCAGGGCTTTGCTTCACAAAACAGACGTTTTATTGAAAATTGTATATATTTTCCAAACTCTGTTATGGCAACCGGGAATAAAAAAGCATTGCTCATGCATGCCAAGAAATATTACTTCAATTGAATGCACATTAAAATGGATCCGCTGATATTATTGCCATCTGTGGTAACAATAAAACATATATTATAATTACTGCCAGAGAATTTTAGATGAGAAAAGCCAAATTATTTGATAAAAATGTTCTCAAAACATTCAGGAAAAATGTTTTCTTATGTAATATTCCTTTTAAAAACATGTTGCATACTTACACTATAACATGCTGCAGTCACA